TGTATCGATTTGGATCACTCTTAAAGACCTCTTGATGATTCATGAGAACTCGATCAGTGGAGAGAGAAACAAGCCTTCAAAAAAAAATATTTGTCGTTGCAAAGACGGGTGGATGAACTTTAAGTTTCGAGAGAAGGCCCACAGATTAATGACTTTGCATTATAATTTCTATGATCGGCTTGAGGAAAGTTTGAAATTGTTGAAACAATTTGTACGTGATCATGGGCTAGATCAACAACAGGAAAATTCATTTTGCAGTAATGATAATTGGCCTTTCATTAGTGATGCAACTAATGACAACAAGAACAAATATTATCACTCACTCCCGTGGATGTTTTGGAATTATGGAATCGGATTCATTATTTGGGGCTCTTTTTACAAATAACTGCAGAAATGAGAGAATACGAAACCAAAAACCATTCGTTTTTTATGAGAATTTCATTTGATCATTATAGTGACAAGGCAATTGATGACATGTTTTGCCAAGTGGTTTTGAAACAATGCCAATTTTTACAACAACTTTATTCCAATAACGATTATATTGAGTGCTATATGTTTTTTGTATGTTGTTTCTCCTATGGATTCGGTTTATGAACTTTCTGATTTGGAACTAAAATTTTTGGAAAATGGTCATTTGCAAGGCAATTCAGATGTGGTCAAATCAATGAACATTCACTCTCATCTGACTGCTAAACCTTTCTACACACATTACGTTACAATTTAGAGCATGTACAATAGCTCAAATAATCTTTCTAATGACTATCATCCTGATATTTCTAAAATTCAAACACAACTTAAAGAACTATTGCAAAAAGTTCACATCGTTCAAAGGCATTATGCCAAACAATTCAAGTTCATTGATTCATGTTTGCTATTCAAAAGTTGAAAGTTCATTACTTTCTATACCATCCGAATTGCTAGAATCATCAGGAAGATATTTTGAAATTTGGGAAAATCATAATGGAAAGATGAATGCAGAATATAGACATGTCAAGTCGATACACAGGTTACACAATTCAACACTCACAGAAATTGTTTTAATGTTGACATGAGGCTTCAAAAAAAATTCGTTTAAATTCTGCATTCAATTAGTTCAGCACAAAATCAATGCAGCATGTGAACAACCAATACCACTGAGTACTTTATCACTTTCGTTCACATGCGAAAATGAATGCAATAAGGTCTGAAATTTTCTTGTTGAATTGAGAGCAAAGAGATCTGCATGGCAAAGAACGATTTTACATCTTAATTTACATCGTCATTATTTACATCAGGGAAACCCCTTCCAAGATGTCACCTTTGAATTCATCAATTAAGAATGACAGCAATCACTCGTTGATTTTAGTCAGCGCTATTAGATCATTTCTTTTGGATCAATAAACTTGTCATGATACAATTAATGAATTCAAGATTGGTCATGTTCACAATACCATGAAAACACTAATTACTGTGACCACTTTTATAACAAACAATACAATAATCATTTTCTTTTGATACTTGAATGGTTGGGTCATTAATTGTTCATGTTGTTTCGACTCTCTTACTTTCATAATCCTTCCATTACTCTCATTAATGACAAAGGTTGATCTCAACCACGGGTTGGTTCTCTCGTTTTGACGAGTATAAATCTTCTGAAGCATCATTTCAAACACATGAAAACTATTCGGACTCCATGCACTCGTTTCCACATATGGATAATTCAATTCTTTTGCCAATTTTTGACCCTCTTGAAAGGTCATTCTTCTCTCTTCGTTACTTAAATCATTCTTATTTCCAACCACTACATGCAATGCATTGTCCTTAACCAATCCTTTCAAAACAAATAAATTCCACTTGTGAAATTCTTCTCTATTGCTTTGACAAGTTTGTGACACATCCAACACATGAATGACTCCATCCGCTGGCTTTTATGATAATCCAAAGCATCAAAATGTTGTCCCATGATGCAGACATCCATAAAGACATGACCTGTAATTTGAACATGATCAAATGAAATGACATTTGAAACGAATGAAATGAGCTCAGCATATCCTTTTAGATTTTTAAATTTAGAAAAAGAACAAGCGAGTGAATATTTTCCGACTTGTGAACCTCCAATGATGAGAACTTGTAGTTCAAAATTCATGCAAATTTCCATTCAATCATTGTGAATGAATCATCATCTCTACCTACTCTTGAAGGTATGATTTTTTGGTTTTAATGGATTTGTGATCATTTGTTTTTTCAACTTTTGAAACAATGTCAAATCTTTTAAGTGAATTTCGGAATGTGACGATGAATTTCGGCATGACTGTGATGAATGTATTTCAAAATCCACCATCACGACATGCACATTCAATGCATCGGAGCGATTGGATGTTGTTTGTTGTTGTCTTTGAATCATTTTTTTCACATCACTAAACTCTTTGTCGATTGTTGCTGTTCAAAAACATTGCACAAAGATCCCTTTCATGGATTGATTTTATATTTAAACACTGAAAAACAAAACGAGTTCATTAAATCCATGCATTTCTAGAAAAAAAGTTCAAAAAAATGTCTGAAATGGAAACTATCACCACACATTCTCTCCCGATTGAAGTCATTCGAAAGGAAGAGGAAGAAACAAAAGATACCATCATTCAAGTAAACACAACCAATTCGGAAGAAGAAAATCCAAAGAAAAGAAAAACTCAAAACTCCTCCTCCGATAGGAAGAAGAAAAAGAAGAAGAAGAAACATCATAAAAAGGCTCAACAAGCATCATTCCGAGTGTTGAATGTTCAATTATTGGATCCTAAATATTTTCATACCATCACTAAAGAAGATGTAAAGAAATTATTTCCTGATGCCATTACCATTTCGAGAAATTCTGAAAAAACAATTCGGGTGGGATTTGCTAAGGAACAAGATTGTTTGAAATATTGCAAACAAGAAAAGAAGAAGATGAGAAAGAGAGATTTATTGAAAAATAATGAACGTGAATCAAAGGAAAAAGAAGAGAAGCAGGATGACAATGCTGAGAAGCAACATCTTAGTGATGATGAGGATGACGACTCAGAAGATCAATCCGATGAAAATGCAATGACAATGCAAGGAACTTCTAACACAATCAACGAGAAAGACATTAAGGAAAATAATTCAGGGAGCACATTAAAGAAATCGTTGGCAGAAGAAGTTGCTCCCTACAAGGTCAAAAAAGTCATTCATGGATTTAAGGTGAAATTGTGTCCTGAGAAAGTCAATGCCATCTCAAATCCAGAATGGAAAGCATTTACCAAAGACAAATCCATAGATGCTCATTGTTTGTGTGTTTTATTGGATAAGAAAATTGATGACAATACGTTGAGTCGTGAAACATTTATGAAATGTTTTCCCACAGCACAAAAAGCATTGAAAAATGGAAGAAGAATTGTTGTGCATTTCGAATCAGATGAATCATTAGAAAATTGTTTCGATGAATGTCAATCCAGTAACAAACTAGAAAAGAATGGATTCAAGTTTTATTTGAGACGAGCGACCAAAAAACAAGTCAAAATGAAAAAGGACGATTGGAACAAAGATTCCACAGAAAAATAAATAACGATTATTGAGACAAAGATGTGAGGGACGGTTGTAACAAAGAGTCGCTGTCTACATGTAGATGCAAACTTGATCCTATTTAGCTTTCATGAGAAGCGTCTCATCACTTGTTTGTCCACCAAAAACCATTTTATAAGTTGACAGTTTTGGCAACCTGTCAAACGCCAAATCAAGAAGAACAGCAACTAAAAAAAATTCAACACTATCAACCTAAGAGTTGTTATCCACCAGCAGTGGTCACTCCGCATCTCTCCACCTACAACAACAACAACAACATTGAGTGGTCCTCACTTCTCACAACTTGTCATCTCCGTCATCGTCTTGCCTTCCGATCTTCTTGTCTTCATACAACAATAGCAGACCAATCCGTTCAGCAACAACATTTCCAAATTTTCTCTCATTCAATTTCAAATTCTTGTTAGGAACTCTTAGATCCGTTTGACATTTGGCAGCAGCCGTACACACGTTGCATCATCCTCAACCTGAAAGATTAATTTCAAAATTCACAACAAAACAATTTCAAATTTATTCAATATCTCCAACAATTTTAAAATTATCAATATATAATGGTTCTTCACGTCACTGTCATTGGAGCCACAAATTTAGAGCGAAAACATTCCGATTCTTCCTATTCATCAGATCCTTTCGTAGTGGTCTCATTAGATCACAAACAATTTGCAAATGGTGACTATCATTTCCGAACGTCTGTTCAAAAGAATACTTTAAATCCTCAATTTAATGAGACATTTCAATTCACACTTCCGAAAAATTCATCTTTCGGTTCGATTGATGTCATCTTCGAAGTATACGATTGGAAAGTGATTGGAAAAAATGCTTCGATGGGACAAGCTCAAGCGAATTTATCAATTTTGAGGAGACAATTGAAAACAGTATGTGAATGCACATCGAAAGCAAACACAAGTTTGTCATTGATCTCTTCGAATGGAAATGTTAATAGCGCAGCATTAGGATCATGTGATTGTTCATGCTGCATGAAAGCAATGTCTAAAGGCATTGTGACAAGTGACAGTACTCAACAGCAGCCATGTGAAACAACCTCATGTAGTGACAGTCGTATGAAGAACATTAATTTAATGTCTACTCTTATGAGTAACAGCATTGAAGGAATTCCTTCTTCTTCTTCTTTAACATCATCGTCTTCTTCGCTTTATCACACTTTGGATACCACAAATAGTATTACTAGTATCAGTGATAACCGTCAAATACCAAATCCGTCTGATGTCACTTCTCCTCACAATTCTAAAATTCAAGTATCAGAACGAAAATGTACGTGTCACCATCGAAAAATATATAAACGAGAGCCACAACGACTGAAATTAGAATTGATTGGATACATGCATAAAGGAAATTCATTTATTGAGGTGGAACTGATGGCAGATGAAAATGACTTTAAGAAGTGTCATTAATGAAATTGACAACAATTGCAAACATTAGAGTTTCAGCATCGAATGGTCAATTTGAGAGTTTCAATCTCTAGAGAATTTGTGGATTGAAGTTATTCGTTGAAAATATACAAAGACATGATCATCATCTTGTAAGCCTTTACAAGAAAACAGTGCAATCTCATTCATATGTTTGTTGTGGATGAAGTTTCCATTCCAACATTTGCACATTTCCAGAAATGTACATTGCTTGTTTGTATAAAGCAATCCTTTACTTTTGAAAAATGTAATGTACTTTTTGAATACATCAACACAAATTTCTGTGAGCCCGTCTTCATGAAATTGGACAACCTTCATTGTCCACTCTGAAGACAGCCGTCTCACATATGAAATATAATATTTCACAAAGAACCCCTAAAAGAGGTTGAAATATTTCACAACAACATTAATGTTGTGCTCGTAGAACTATATCTGTACAGCGTCCAAACTCGTCTTTTTCCAATAATCGAAAATGTCTTCCAATTCTTACGACATTCTGATGAAATATTCTCAAAAACAACACGACATGAAAATGACCATTTAGTCTCGCACTCTCCTCAGGCAACTCTCCAAAACATCTCAAATATCGATTCGCACCTTGCCTTAATAAATATTTCACAAGTTTTAAATTTCCAACACTACATGCACAATGGAGTGGTAAAAACTTTCGTTGAGCTCTCTCCGATCCTGTATAATTTAACACTTCATTCATTAAGATGCGTCCTCCATTCCTTTCGTAATACAATGCTCGTCCATGAGGTTTCACTATAGTTTTAAAAAATGTTTTCACATGTTCAAAGACATTTGGAGAATTCTTTTGAATGATGGAAATGAGTTGATTGGCAAAATCCATAATCATTAATGCCCGAAAACCCATTCGTGTCGAATGATTGTATTGAGATAAAATGCAATAGAAAGGAAGTGAATGTTGCGTTGGTGGTGTTGAATTCAATTCATCATCATGATTGGAAGCATTGAGAGGGTTATTTGAAGTGGGCTCTAGGATTCCTGCAGTCATGTCTGTTTGGATGATTGGACTCAAAGTATTGTCATGGAGGAGTGAAGGTTTTGCGTCAAATGTCAAATTGAGTTGAGAAACGTCTGTCGTCTTGTTAGGGGGAGTATGATTCAAAACAACAGCAATATCATCATGAATCGAAGAGGATGACTCTTGTTCTGTACAAGTCGTGATGATGTTCGTTAAATTTTCATACTCTGAATCGCCATGATGTTGAATAGGCACCACCACCACCACCACTGGTAATGAAGATGAAACTTCATTGGAAACGACATGTCCTTCATTGGTAAAGGCGTTAGTTGTGGCCACAGAGGAAGTGTTCACTAACACTTGACCGTGAAGGTCTCTTTTCCCATTTTGGAAAGAGACACCATTTCGATTCTCATCATGCTCCATCATGAAATCCATCATGATCGTATTTGTGTTGCAAATTGAAATTTTCTTCTTCTCACTAATACTGAAGGATGAGTATGAGTAGTCATGATCATGTTGTTGTTTCTGTTGTTGTTGTTGTTGATTTCGATGAATCATGATTGGAATGAAAGGTTGTTGTTGTGATGAGTGATGATTCATTTGCCAAGTTGGCATGATTGAAAATCCTCCAATGCTCCAATGTGATGAAGAATGCTCAATATTATCTTGTTGATGAGTCAATAAGGTGGAAGATGGAGGTGATTGTGGAAGAGGAAGTGAAGATTGCATTTCGATTGAAAGATTTTCTTCAAAATGATGGCAAGCTGGATCTTCTAAAACAGCAACGGAATGCATTTCTTCTGGAAATGGTTTGGTGAGAGATGAGAGAGGTGAACAGGTGGTAGTGAGATTTTTTTGACTTTTGGAAGAGTCGTTGAAAGCTATGTGGACTTGACTTGAATTGGAATCAGTCATGGTCTGTTGGCAAGGTGGGTAAGTGACATTTGATGGTAAGTGAATGCTGGTGGTATTTATCGTGTGACTATTGTTGTTGGTGGTGCTGTTGTGATTGCTCATCATGATGAAATAGTTATTTTGTTGTTGATTCATTAAATCGACCACTGAGTCCGATGATTGTCGTTGAGTCGACAATTGACTGCTCGAAAGTGAGGAAGAAATGGTCGAAGAATTGGCAGAGTTAATAATTGAGAGCGTTGAAGAGCAATCTGAAATGTTGACACTCCATCGATTGTTGTTGTTATTGAAATTGTTAAAGTTGTTTCCATTCGGGTACATGACAGATGTCGAAGAGGAAGAAGAATTAATATCCGCAGAATTATTCACAAGAATCTGTGAAGAAAGGTTTGTGGAAGGAGGTCTTAATTGTTGTGATTGCTTATGAAGGCTCAATTTCATTTCATGCAAGTTTAATGAGTTTCTATATTTGGTGTTTGATTGGGATCTTTGAGGAGTGACAGAAGGCACATGTGAAGAAGAAAATGACTGTGGCTTTATCAGAGACGATGATGATGACAGATCTTGAGAGGATGAATTTATGACTTGTTGTTGCTGATGTTTGGGAGAACGACGTGTTGAAGCTTCCTCCTCTTGGTGTTGTTGACCCATTGGAATACTGACAGCTGTCGTGTTGGAATTCTTTCGTGCAGATTTCAGTTTATGAACTTTGTTGTGTAGAGCCGAAAATATTGAAACCATCTGATGGTGATGACAACGATTGTGAGTTTGTTATTGAATGATTGTGCACCATGCGGCGCTCTTTACGTGAACGTTTGCCTTTTTTTATGTGTCAAACTATTTACGAAGGATCCGTTGAAGGACAGACATTTGATGTTCGCTCTTTCGAAAGGATTGAAATACGAATTGGGGTGAAGGTCGTCTTGGTCACGATGTGAGATTCATTTATGATGAAAATAAATGTATCACTGTGAATCATTTCGAACCATTTATTTATTGCACCGCCTTTTCTCTTTTCATCTTTTCAATATGCATGGTTTTGAAAAAGTTCAAGTTCTCACTCCCAAAAAAAAATATTACAACTCTTTACAAGAAACTTACAGATAGAGGTTCGAATATTATATTATTATTATTATTAATAATTGTAATTAAAATTATTATTATTTCATTCTCTGATCTTTCAAAGAATTAGTGTCTATGGGATTCTTTGAAAAGTTTAGAAAGAGAGATCAAAAATCATCACCACGACCATCCTCGGAATCCATGCAATCATCATCGGAAGTTGAAACATCATCCACTACCAAACCAATGAATCTCACTGGTTCTGTGGATATTGTTACTTATGGGATTCCTTTTTCCTTAAATCAACCAACCCCCACTACATTTGAAAGGAGATCACTCCCATTCCCGATAGGAGCTCAGATCAAGGAAATTATTGGAGGAGGAACGTTTTGTGTGATTCGTAGTGATTCAGATGAACTCTTCTTCAAATCAACAACATCAACAGATTTTCAACCATTATTGCGCTTTCTTTCAGGAACCCAACCCACAACACCAGGTCCTTTTTTCATGAACGGAACACTCAATTATTGCCATATCAATTACAAGAAGAAAATTGATGATTTTAAATTAGATTCGAGGAATGCATGTTATGAATTGAAGGAAGTGCATTGTGGACAATACTTTATTTTACTCAGAATGATGAATGATTTATTGGTATATCTCAGCATTACGAATTACATTGCTTTGGTTGACCATAGTTATGTCATTTCGAATTATCATTCAGAGACAAGAAAGCTGAAACATATTTATGTTGGTCCATTGAGCCAACACACAATTATTCTCAAGAATGACGATACCATTGATTATTTTGAATGTTATCAACGTTTCACAAAAACAGAAGAAAAGCCACTTCCCATCAAAGAAGGTCACAAAATCGTCAATTGTGCTTGTGCTGGAAGATCTACCTTTATAGTCGTTGAGGATCCAACAGATCACTCTCATCATTTATTTGTGCACGGAGACAATCAATTCATGGTCCAGAGTGGATTGAGCAGCATGTATTCCTTTGCTCCTTTAACAAACACTCCCTTCTCAGGAAAGAGAGTGAAAGATATCAAGTGTGGTTATTTTCATACATGCATATTGATGGAAGATGGCTCCGTTTATACGTGCGGATATAATGCTTATTGCCAATTAGGATACTCTGGAGGGGACTCGGAACTTCAACTCGTTAAATTTCCAACGTTGCCCTTGTCATCTGAATCATATACTTATCCAAATAATTCAGAATCAAGTTCTTGTTTCCGAACCAAATCAGTTCTCTGCTCTTCTATTGCCACACTTTTTATCAGTGAAAAAGGGTTTATTATGGTTGGAGATCCTGTATCATCCTTGCAGAGAAAAGTTTCATTTGGTCCCAATGTTATGGCATTCAATTATTCGTTTGGAAATGATCCAATAGAAACGGTAGTTGGTTTAAAACCTCTTGGTTCTAACTCGGTTGCAGTTGGTGGATGGCATTTTGTTATTTATCACAAAGCCTCCATGTCCATGAAACATTTAAGGTATTTCTTTAAGAATTTGTGCCAATTTGCCAAGATTACTGACAGTGATGCAGCAGAACACGAGAATTCTCAATTTTCAGACATTTCATTTTCATTCTAATCCGTTTATTATTCAATAAACCTCCTGAATTTTCATTCTAATGTTTTAATCAACGATTCTTGAAATGAATTAATTGTTATCAATATTACACATTGAATGTAACTTTAAGGTTGTTACACAACAGCAATGTAACTTCTTGATTTCATTAGGATGAAACTTGAGTCTTGCATGTCAAACAACAATCGATCATAAACGGACATGGCATTTCACCTTTCTCCAACAGACAAAAAAATTGTTCATCGACAACACCTGTATTGCGCAATGACTCAAGCACAAGATATTCTCTCACGTCTCGAGAAGTGTGTCTCTCGATTGGAAAAGATTGATTTTTCGTCATCGAGTGGTGGTGGCAAAAGCAGTGGCAATGCTGGATCATCAGCTCCTCAAGTTGTAGCCTACGATGACTATTATAGTTCACATGTGGTCCCATTGTTGGAGACTTGTAAGAAGATCGGAGGTGATCTTGCATCAGCTGTAGGTGTTGTTTTTTGTTGTGTCAATGTCTTGAAACTAGTTTCAATTCTATCTGACATTTATTCATCATGTTTTCGTATTTCTGTTTGATGAAACGAATTCGGGACAAACTTCAATTGGATCTTTTATTTACATGTAAATTGGAATTGCTGTTAAATTCTTTTTCGAACACCATGGATGACAACAACCACACAACCACCCAAATATGGATGGCTGAGCACAGAAATCCTTCATTGAAGCTGGCTTCCAAGGTTTGGGTCGTGTCATTAAACTCTCCTCCACTCACAGCAAACCTTCCAGCGATGCTGTTTTGGGAGAAATTTTGGAAAAGAGTGGAATTGGTTCAGCACTTTCCTCCTCTGCCGATTTCCGTTTCAAGAACTTTAAGAGTCCTCTCGCTAATCATTTATATGTGGTTGAGGAAGGTTTGAAAGTGGTCTTGTGGCCAACCTCCACCACTGCTGTGAGCTATGTGAAGGAAATGGTGAATGCTGTTCAATTTTACACGAACAAAATTTTGACCTCAACGAAAGGAAATAATGATGCCGAATTGCATAAATCCTTTGTGAGTCAATGGAAGAATGCTATTGAGGAATTGGCAGTCTATGTGAAAGAGTATCACATGAGTGGATTGAATTGGAGCAAGAGTGGAGAAAAGGCGACACCAAATGCCTTGAAATAATGTTGTTTCATATATATTGTTCGTTGTGTGTGTTCAAAAACACTTGCAATATTTATTGATCGAATGTATTTTAATTAATTACTGTAGTATTAAACCAGTCTGAAGGTTTTTTGGATTATTCTTTCCTTGCGAATGCCAAAGTGCATGTTAAATATGGAATTTTTAAATACGTTCAAAAAAAATTCGTTACTCAAAAGATGGTATGTTCATCCTTTCCACACGCACAAGCCTTTAAAAACCACAACCAACCTTCCTCATTTCTTGTTGTTGATGCACACAACAACCAACGCAATGATTCTATGAATTCAAACTTGATAATATTATTTCCCAACATCAATGAACCGACTCAACACTTTTGTTGAATCGGTTGTTGTATGATTACTTTATCGCTTTTTCATTCCTTCGGCTTGAACTCTCCCACAATATGTATTCTTTCTTATAACGTTGTATGGATTTTGAAATCTCATCGCTCCATGTCCAATAATAATAATATGGTTTGATGCAATTTGCACACACAGTCTGAAGCATCCCCACCAAGAAGTCCACACAGAAGTCCACCTCATCATCCAGGAAGTCCACATTCACCTGGTCGTCGTGATGATAGATACGACAATGAGAGAAGATATGACGAACGTCGTGATGATAGATACGAGGGTAGAAGATCCTATGATGATCGTCGCGAGAGAAGATATGAAGGAAGAAGATACGATGACGAGCCTCGTGGAGGAAGATACGAAGGTAGAAGATATGACGACAGAAGAGAGAGAGAGGATGACATGTAAGTTGTTTGTCTTGTGTATTTGATGATGCAAATTTTGTGTTGTAACATTCCCTTTTGCACGAACGATTGATGCCTTTCTTCATCCCACTATACACTTCACAGTTTGCAAGCTGAAAAATCCAAGGCTACCTCCATCTTTGTAGGTAGTTTAGACCACAACATCACCGAGAATGACTTGCGTGAAACCTTCTCCAAGTTCGGTGTTGTTGAGAATGTTAAACTTGGTGTTACCAAGCAAGGACGCCCTCTAGGTTATGCTTTTGTTGCTTTCTCTAACAGGGATGATTGTGAGAAGGCTTACAACGCAGTCAAGGATGGTGAAGTTGGAGGTCAAAATCACAAATGGGCCGTTGACTATGATGTTGGTAAGGAAAAGAAGATTCAAATGGGTATTCCACCAGCAGGACCAAGAAGAAGATATGGAGGTTCTTCGAGAGGTGGCGGAAGAAGATACGACGATGATCGTTATGGGGGTGGTTACAGAAGAGATCAAGGTAGCAGATATCATCCATACAGCAGAAGAACACCACCATACAGAGGTGATAGAGGTGATAGACCATCTCCTCATGGTGGCTATCCAAGATATGGAAGTCCAAGAAGATCTCCAATGTACGATAGACCTAGAAGAGACCGTAAGTTATTATTTCACGTGGATTTTATTTAACAATTTTTTGTTGTTTAACCCTTAATGGGTTCTTCATATCGCTCGACACTTGAATGCATTTCACCATAATGACGACTTGACAATGCTCCTATCCATTCTTGTGTACAACAACAACTCCATCCAAATCACGATGCTTGCCACCTTAATTATTATTGCGATCCACTTTGCCAATATTTATGGATGAATCGTCTTTGTTGCATGAAATTCTTATGGCTATGAAATTTTGTTGGGCGACTGTTTGAATCCGTTTTTGTGACTCGATATTGTATTGTAGGTGGAAGTCCAAGAGGCAATTATTAGATGATGCATCCTTTTCATATACCTACAACAGAGACTTAAATTCTCAACAGCAAGCTAGTCAGAGAAATGGCTGAGAGAATATTGAAATAAAACAGATGTAGACATACAGAGAGAAGAATAAGAGAAGAGCACATATTTTACCTGAAGTGTTGAACAATTCCCAAGAATATCAACATGATCTTGATCGAGACTTTTGATTGCGAATAACAATCAAACAGAACGTCTTTATCTGAATATCGAATATCTGGAGTTGATTGTGAACACATGACCATATTGACATGAAATTTAGAATTGTTTAAGGCATGTCAATACGCGTTGATTCGAATAATAATCGAGATAACCGTAACTTATACTTGATATTGCTACTCAATCGCCATATATAGAATATCATTTTAATTGTGGGATGACCTGCATGGACATCATGATCAAACCACTGCAATTAAAATGAAACAGATATGTCGATTGAAGCAATATCGAGAGACGTTATTCCGTTGTCACTTTTGGCCTTATGATCAACTCTTGTAAGGGAGGGAGGGATTAAGGTAAGTACATCCTTCCCACTCCTCGTCACTGCAAACGAATGTTCACAATCTTGTGAAAATAAATACCCATGCCTGAATTGTTTTTGTGTGTGACAAATGAGATCCTGTTCTCTTGCAGGAATATGGAGAATTAAGCGGGATTTTTTGTGCAATTTAGCGAAGTGGTAGGCCAACAAAATTCGCGAATTGTATCGACACATATTTGGGCTTGATTCGTGTCCATTCAAAAAAAATCAACGAAGAACAACTCGAGACCGTCTTGGTGAGGTAAGCTGATTTCATGACGAGTATTTTCTCAACGATCAACAACACACAATACCACCTCCTTCTTGACTACTCATGATCTTTTCTCGATCAGCATTCGTTGGTCAAGTCAAATAATCCTTCTCTTTGTCCTTTTTCATACGTTTTTGTACTGCGATCATTTGATCAGACCTTTTGTATCACATCTTGATACTGTGTAATATTATTATTGCTACTCACTATTGAGAGATTATTGAACAGTAGGTACTCGTGTTCGTTCTCATAACCACAAGCCAACATTCTCATCAATAACTATTCCATAAACAGCCACTGAAACAGTTCTCATCATCATGAAAAAGCTTTGCATCCAACAAGCACAGCGTCACTCTTCCAACAGAAATGTTGGCACAACTACGTCTGCTGCCAAGATCCTTGTCCAACACAAGAGTCATTCACTTGCTACTTCCTATCAGATGGACTCTCTCACCAACAACTCAAAGGCCAATTTTAGTTCTTCCAAATTCAGTTTGAGAGAGTTTGAAAAGTTACTAGTTGCAAATAGAGGTGAAATTGCAACAAGAATTTTAAGAACTGGCCATGAAATGGGTATACGAACAGTTTCTATCTATGCCAAACAGGATGCTTCCTCTATGCATCGTTACAAAGCAGATGGTAAGTCACTTGTTTTAGAAATGGCATCTTTTTGATCAAACACACAATGATCATGATTGTAATTTACATGTTTCTTTGACAACTGTATGCATTGTGTGACTATATTTCTTCTTTTGGGAATGATGTTTGATTTTAAATTTTAATACACTTTTGATGTATTATTAACACTTGCATCACTGATCGCTGTTAGAGAGCTACGTCATCGGAAAAGACAGAGCTGAACCATTGGGTCCTGTGGATGCCTATCTTTGCATTCCAGAGATTATCAAAATTGCAAAAGACAATGGTGTGGATGCCATTCACCCTGGTTATGGGTTCTTATCAGGTATGTGTTTGTGTGTATGGCATGAGCTGTCATTTATTAATTGTCATGATTTTGCATGAAAATTAAAGAGAGAGCCGATTTTGCAAGAGCTTGCAAGGAGAATGGCATTACATTTATTGGTCCGGTAAGTTTTCCATTTGAATCTAACATATATAATTTTTAACATGCATCTACTGTTCGTTTCGAATTTACATCTTGTGATCCTTTTTGCTATTCACTTCTTGTGATAATTACCAATTGTCCTCTCCGAAAAGACCGATGATGTGGTTGAGGCCCTCGGAGATAAAACCACTGCAAGAAAGTTGGCTCAACAAATTGGAATTCCTGTCGTTCCAGGTACCGAAAATGTAAGTTCCAAAATTCCAATTTTAAAGTACAAATTGGTTCAATCATTTCCGACACACATTCACAATTTTGAACATCATCATTCCTAGGCTGTCACAAGCATTGTCGAAGCTAAAAGATTCTGTGCCGATATCAATTTTCCTGTCATTCTCAAAGCAGCCCATGGTGGAGGTGGTCGAGGAATGCGTATTGTTCGTCGTATGGATGATCTTGAAGAGGCCTTCCAAAGAGCATCTTCCGAAGCTTTGAATGCATTCGGTAGTTCAGCAGTTTTCATTGAAAAGTATGTGGAAAATCCTCGTCACATTGAAGTGCAAGTGTTGGCAGACAAGTATGGAAATGTCGTTCACTTGTACGAAAGAGATTGCTCTGTTCAAAGAAGACACCAGGTAGGTTTTTCATTTGAGTTTTCTGTTGTTTGACAAGTGATGAATGACCCTGTGTTATTTCTTCTTTGTTTCAATGGAATGTCAACTTGCCCTTTTTTTAGAAAGTTGTCGAGATTGCTCCAGCTCCACATTTAGATCCTCAAGTCAGACAAAGAATCCTTAATGATGCTACTCGTTTGGCACTTCATGTGAAATATGTCAATGCAGGTACTTTTGAATTTCTAGTCGATTCAAATGGTAAAGATTATTACTTTATCGAAGTGAATCCAAGACTTCAAGTCGAACACACCGTCACTGAGGAAATTACAGGAATTGACATTGTTCGTAGTCAAATTCTCATTGCAGAAGGAAAGAGTCTCGAAGAAATTGGTCTCAAACAAGAACTCATTCAAGTGAGAGGTGCTGCCATTCAATGTCGTGTCACCACTGAAGATCCTTTGAATGGTTTTCAACCTGACACTGGTGTCATTGAGGCGTTTAGAACAGGAGAAGGAATGGGTATTCGTTTGGATATTGGTTCTGGATATGTAGGCTCAAGGATTTCACCATTCTATGATTCCTTACTTGTCAAAGTCATTGGTAAGGGTCTAACACATGAAGAAGCAAGTAACAAATTGAGAAGAGCTTTGGCAGAATTTAGAATTCGGGGTGTGAAAAATAACATTCCATTTCTTTTAAAAGTCTTGTCACATGAAAAGTTCTTGCATGGATATGTAGACACTTCATTCATTGATACGACACCAGAATTGTTCCAATTTTTATCGAGTGGAAACAGAGCTCAAAAGCTTCTTGCATTCCTCGGAGAAACAGTTGTGAATGGTCCAACCACTCCATTGGCTACCAATTTGGAACCATCACGTAGAGATCCAATTATCCCTGAAACACCAAAGACATCACTTCCTAAGGGATGGAAACAAATTTTAGGTGAACAAGGTCCTGAAGCATTCGCCAAAGCCATTCGCCAGAGCAAACCTTTATTGATTACTGACACCACCATGCGTGACGCTCACCAATCGTTGTTGGCCACTCGTGTCAGAACCAAAGACCTATTAGCTATTGCTCCTTACACTGCACATGCTATGGCTAAATGTCTCTCATTGGAAATGGGAGGAGGTGCCACATTTGACGTGTGTTTGAATTTCCTTAGAGAATGTCCATTTGACAGATTGGCAAGATTGAGAGAAGCAATTCCTAACATTCCATTCCAAATGTTATTCCGTGGTAGTAACGCAGTAGGTTATACTGCCTATCCAGACAATGTGGTTTACAAGTATTGCAAAGAGACAGTCAAGTATGGAATGGACATTTTTAGAATTTTCGATTCTTTGAATTATTTGCCAAACAGTAAGTGACTTTGGATGGTTTTATATTGATATTCTCATAGATTCTTTTCATGAACTCTAATTCATCTATTTCCATGAATTCTATCTCATATATTTTCACTACACATGATGATCTCTTTTGAATTCTCCATCACAAAATACGCATCGATCTGTATTTCACTCCTTTTAGTGGAATTGGGTATTGATGCTGTCGGAAATGCTGGAGGTGTCATTGAGGCAGCCATCTCCTACACTGGCGATGTGAGCGATCCAAAAAAGACCAAATATAATCTCGAGTATTATCTTAAACTGGCTCGAGCTCTGGTCGAAAAGGGCATTCATATTTTGTGTATTAAGGACATGGCTGGATTATTGAAACCAGAAGCAGCCAAAATGTTAATTGGAGCTCTTCGTAAGGAATTTCCTAACACACCCATTCATTTACACACTCATGACACTGCTGGAACTGGTGTTGCTACTGCATTGGCTGCAGCTCAAGCAGGTGCTGATATTATTGATGCCGCCATTGACAGCATGTCAGGAATGACCTCACAACCAAGTTTGGGAGCCATTGTGGCATCCTTACAAAATACTCCTCTCGATACAGAACTTGACTTGAAACAACTTTCAACTGTTTCAAATTATTGGGAACAAGCTCGAGGTCTCTATGCTCCATTCGAATGTACCACCACCTTGAGAAGTGGTTCCAGTGATGTCTATACACATGAAATTCCAGGAGGACAATATACCAATTTGCAATTCCAAGCATTTAGTTTAGGATTGGCCGATCAATTCCCCAAGATTAAGAAAGATTATGAAATTGCAAATCGAATTTTAGGAGATATTGTGAAAGTAACTCCAAGCAGTAAGGTTGTTGGAGATTTGGCTCAATTCATGGTTCAGAATAATCTCAGTGAAAAAGATGTCATTGAAAAAGCAGATCAATTGTCATTCCCTAATTCTGTGATTGAATACTTTGAAGGTAAACTTGGAATTCCATATGGTGGATTCCCAGAACCTCTAAGAACAAAAGTCATGAGAGGAAAACCATCCATTGAAGGAAGACCAGGTGCATCAATGCCAGCACTCGATTTTGACAAGTTGAAACAGAAATTGTTGCAAGATTTTGATTTCAATGCCTCAGATGCTGATTTGTTGTCGTATGCATTGTTCCCCAAAGTGTTTGAAGATTACTTACTCTTCAAACAACAATTTGGTGACATTTCCAATTTGGGAACACGTGAATATTTTAAGGGAATTAAGGTCGGAGAAGAAATTGAAATTGAACTTGAAAAGGGTAAAGTATTGCACATCAAATTGAAAGCCATTGGTGAAGTGGGTACTGATGGAAAGAGAGAAGTCTATTTCGAAGTGAATGGTCATCCAAGATTAGTGCTCGTTCAAGATAAGAAACTATCCAAGGAACTCAAGATTCGACCAAAGGCAAGCAAGAAGGATCCAAATGAAATTGGAGCACCAATGCCTGGCAAGGTCATTGATGTGAAGGTGAAGGAAGGAGACAAGGTGAAGAAGGGTGATACTTTAATTGTGCAAAGCGCCATGAAGATGGAAACTCAAATTAAGTGCAACACAGATGGTGTGATTAAGACATTAGCTGTGAAAGTTGGAGATGAATTGACTGGTGGAGATTTGGTGTGTGTGATCGCACCTTAATTCATTGTGTGACATTAAATGAATAATTATTGTTTTCCTTCAGTAGTGAGCGTGTTAGTGTTCTGAGAGATCACATGATGGCCAAGTTGTATCTTGGTTTATTCATTGTCATGACTTTTGCAAAATTCAAAGATAGCAGCAACAGGAAGATGATCGGATATGGTTGCACCTTCTTCGTCAATATCGCACTCTTTCAAATAGGGTTTCAATTCTTCATTACATATGATATAGTCAATTCTAGTATTGAGCCTCGAAGAGCCAATAATTTGATTATCGTCCAATAAATCGTGTGGATGACATTCTTTCCAACAGTCCACTTTCGATACTTGGTTCCTCTGTTTATACTTTTCTTCAATATCCTCAACACGATCAAAAAACTCATCATAGTCATCATCATGCTGAGAATATTTCCCTTCAAACAAATACTCGGCAATCATGGTGTGGGCAGGTTCCCATCCCCACTCAATTCTATGTTTTGCAATTTTGTTCCAGAACTCGGGCGTATAATCGTCCTCTCTCATTGAATTAAAGTCTCCCATTAAAATATAATTTGCATTTGTGGTATTGTCGTTTGGATGAGCAGTGTTAGAATTACTAGTTTTTTGTTGTTGTGGCGGCATGTTACCAATGGCTTCATCTTGAGAGGATGCATGATTTTCATCTTGGTGATGATGCTCTTGCATAAATTCTTCCATGAATTTCACTCCTCGTTTCATTTGCTTCATTCTCTTTTTCTCTTGCACATGATCCAAATGAGTGAGAAATAGGAATTGAACATGGGGATGATCAATTTTCAATCCGACCATACATCGATCATCAGCAATTTGCTCCGATGATGATTCAAGAATTTTAAATTTGCTCAACACAGCATTCGATTCATAGAAACCATTGGCATTGCCCACAAAGTATTTGTAAGTTGTTTTCCCCTCTTTCCTCATCCACTCATTCAATCCCGATACAAGGCATTGAAACTGCGGTAGAGACTTCATTCAAGCCAACCACATCGTAATCTTTGATGATGAGATTGAGTCCGAGGGAAGCGATGATGGTAGTTATAACAACGAAGACGACGATGAAGATGACGACGAGGACAGTGAAGAAGACTTCACACCCAGCAAAAAGCTCCCAAACTCGACTTGGTGGCAGGTAAAGCGAGCTCTTCTGCTGCAGGAAGTAGCAGCAATGCCACGAACTCGTCTTCAACTAACAGTTTCTATGAGGTGATGATTTCGTTGCCTCGCCACAATTTCAATCGAGTGGTCCGAGTTCCAACCCTTACTACTATGCACCATTTCCACAACATTATTATGAATGCATATTCATGGTCAGATGGTCACTTACATAAATTTAGCACGGGAAGAGGTACTTTTACAGACACTACCTTGTGTGAAGAAGGAAAGGAAGAACGGAAGGTTCGGCTTGATTCTGTTCTCAATAACCAACATCGACACATGTCCTATGTTTATGATTTTAGTAGCGAGTGGAATATTGAAATCTATCTTAAAAAAATTATTGACGAAAATACAATGAGACAAGGTGCTCTCGATCTAGGTCTGACAGTTCCTCAAAATTTGTCAAATTTTATTTAAGATTTAATGTTCAAGAGGCTAACCGGAATCTCGCAATTCGGTGGTAATTGAAAATGTTGAACGCATTGAGCTCATTCTCCATCGAAAGAAATACCAAATACTCATACCGATGACATTACAAGTGTTCTCTTTTGGAACTGAGTAATCTCTTTTTTTCGCAACTTGATGTCGTTATTCCAACTGCTAGTTCTTGTACGGTTGATCAACATTATTGAAACATGGAAGCGCAACAAAGTGTGAAAATTCCTACAGTCCCTGTGGAAATGTGAAAAACCTTAATGGATCATATTGTTGCTTAATTCGTTCCAGTCGTTTCAATGTCTCTGGATCACGTCCAAAATATTCTTGTTTGTAGTTCTCCAATTCAAGAAGAGGGAAGTTAATGAAAGAACCACATGTGAGAGGAATAATTCTTGATTTCATCATCTCCACCACCCATTTCGAATTCTCTTTGGCATGTGTTGATGAATCGTTCCATTGAGTTTGAATTCCAATGATTGCCTTAGCATCTCGATAAGCAAATGCTGTATGTTCTTTTGGTGTCTCACGAATTGCTCCTCCCAATCCATACAGAGAAATTGCTGCATAAATGGAACCTTGTGGCTTGTTTTGGACAATCTTAATGAAATTTTCAATTTCTTCAAGTGTGAAATCTCTCATTGCAAATCTACCTGATGATTTAAATATTTCATACTCTGGATGAATGTCTCCAATTGCCTTGAAAACCTCATGAATTGGCATGTATTTGACTGTTGCCACACACGATGATTGTCCACCAATGTCCCATCCTGGTTCATCAGGACACTTACTCAAGAAATCCTGTAAGCAATTCACAGCTTCTTGTTTCTCACCTAACAGCATCGCAATCATACTGAAACCAATTCCATCCTTGTCGCAATGATAAATGTTAATCTTACCATTGAATCTCGAAGGTGCATGATTCATCGTGTCTTGCCATGAGTTCACCATGGATGCCATTTTCACAGGACAGCAATGTGAGTAATTCATCATGATTAAGGAGGCCATTGGTTGTTTTACTTGATGGATTCGCAATGTCATGGAAGTGACAATGCCAAAATTGCCAGCTCCAGCTCCTCGACAAGCCCAAAACAAATCTGCATTCTCTTTCTCATTAACTTTAAGAACATGACCATTGAAATCAACTATTTCCAAGCCGACAATATTGTCACAACCTAAACCAAAGGCTCTCGAAGCAAAACTCCAACCTCCTCCCAATGAGTATCCAACCACTCCAACAGTAGGACATGCACCTCCTGGAAATACATGTTGACCACCTGCTTCATGTAAAGCTTTGTTCAGCTCTGCATTTTGCACACCTGCCTCAATGGTCACTGTGCTCTCTTTCTCGTTTAAGGAAATGTTTTTCATTCGAGAAACGTCAATCACAATGGCCTTATTGTCTGTTGAAAAACCTTCATAACTGTGTGAACCCGAACGAATACGAATGGGATACTGAGTTGGAAGAGTCGTCTTGACAACGTTCCTCCGAATCCATTGAATACATGAAATGACGTGTAATTGAGAACTGCAATACAAGATGAGAGAGGGATATTTATCAATTGCTCTATTCCAACATTTCCGACATTCTTCATACTTTTTGTATGATGATAAGGTGATGTTCCGGAGAGAGGATTCACTGCCCATCATGCCGGAGGTTGGTTGTCTTGTACAAGACTCGGATAACACTATTTCATCACACACTATTTCAGGGTCTTTCATTAATGCCTGAAAGAGATTGTCTTCGTGATCTAGAAGGGAATGTCCATCATCATTCTCTTGAAGTGGTATTGCTGTTGAGAGACTTCTTTCTTTTTCATAATGACCTCTCGAAAAAACGGATGAAATTGAGTGTGAAAGATGTGTTTTCGAAAGGATCATTTTCAGTATTTTTCTTTGAATTCTCTTGGTTCAAGAGCAATCCTTTATCTCCTTTCAAGAATCAACTGCTCAACTGCTGAGGAACGTCTTGACCAATCTCACGGGGTTGCCAAAAATGGAGGTTTGTCCTCCCTTCACACTTGACCTTCACTGTGGCTAATGTAAGAGAGAGCACTCTCTTTTAAATTGTGAGATGACTATAATTGAGAAAAGGTTCAAAGTTCGATTCAGCTCTTTGATCTTGTCGTTTTCTCTTCGCTTTTAACGCCGGATGTTTTTCAAGCAAGTACAACCAACATTGTTTCACAGCCTATTTCGAAGAGGGCTTCTGAAAAACGAATATTCAAAACACCCACAAGTCAAAATCCTGGACAAACAGTGACCTCCAAAAAATGTCAATACGCTTCTTTATTGAAGTACATTGAAGTTACACACTTCTTACAAGTTATAGAAAACCTTTTTCATTTCCACAACGCTCGTTTTACTTCAATTGTTCCATCTCACTTTGGCCCAATCGAACCCGAACACGATTCATTTCACCGGAAATGATGTCAACTCTGGTAATTCCACTTCTCCGTTCTTGGGTTTCAGAAGCCCTCTTCGAAATAGGCTACAGGTTCAGCAAGGAAGTTTCTTCAGTGAATTCTCTTAAAAACAGTGGACGCTACAGTGTAATACGATCTTTGTTGTGAACATTTATCCAGGAATGTACTATAAGAATTCAACCATAACCATTCAAAAACCAAGCTCACTCAAATTGAATGATGAAAATTCAGCAAGTCATTTTGAAGCCTGATCATGAAATGATTTACAAACATAATGTATCTTATTATATGAAAATTCGTGACTATTTCCACTCCATTGAATTGCCAAATGATCAGATAGAAAATTCCGTTTGGAACAAGCTAAGTGGTCTGGATGAATTCCACTATTTTACAAGACACTCCTTTTGCTCCTGTTGGAAATTTGGTTCAGTTCAACCTCATGTCAGCTTCAGTGAAGGAAGCCATCTGTGAGTATCTATTCGACCTATACCAATAACTTTTGATGTTCCCTTTAATGTATTTGCCAATCCATCTCAAGTGAATTTCACCATGGTCACAGGAAACGTATATGCAAACAACCCAGAGTTTCGGTGTCTCTTGCTCCTACTGTACATGTACATTTAAATTGTGGTGGTTGTTAGTCGTCGTTGTTGGAGTCAATGTTTTATTGAGTAGCTTGACAATAATTTTTTAACCCTAAGGAAGAACCAACTTTTGAAATCCAAAGATTATTAAATTTTTCAAGTTGCAACTCAATAAAGTTCTCATTCAATTGAAAAATTGAACTACATGATTTGCCCAATCACAAGAAATTAACTCACCAAGAACGCCGTTCAAGCAAAGACCATTAGGATAACAAATTCTATCGCGTCCAAAATCAGTTAAACAGGCAACAAAAGTTCCCTCTTTTGAAAATATTTGGATTCTATGATTTCGATAGTCCCCTACAATTATATTCAAGGAAGTTTGATCAATGGTCATTGAAGAGGGCCAATCAAACTCACCAAGCTCATTTCCTCCTCGTCCAAACGTTGTCACAAGATCGTATTCAAAACTTGAAGTAGTGCTTTTCAACCTGAAAATTTGGCATTGATCTTTTCCATCTTTAAGAGTACTTGACTCGCTTATTATCAAATAGTCATCGCCATAAAAATTTGCAAATTCAATCCCATATGGTTGAAGAGAAAGCTTGATGGTTTGTGTCAACTCTCCAGAGCTTGATGCTAAAATCTTAACTGAGCAATCTCCCACATCACATACAAATACATGACCTGATTTGTTTGAACAAGTAATCCCTTGATTACTCAGTACAGCAGTTGAAATCCAAAGATAAGGAGGTGAACATGATTTGTCTTGTTGAACGAATGCCAACTCTTTTCCAAGGTCGAATTTGTTTACTGTGCTATCTGAACAACATCCAAAAATTAGAGCATCATTATTGGAACCATCACAGTTCTCTTCAATACATAAATACATTGGATTTTTGCTTGCGGTATTAATTGATTTTTTAAATTGTTTTGTGTGCATGTCAAACACTTGAATTCTCGAATTGTTACTATCACTGATCAATATACTTTCAAAATTATAGGAGATCTTCACGTCAAAAGGGTGGCTAAATAAATCGGGATCGCTACCACTTTCGCAAACTTTTCCGAGTGTATGAACCAGTTCAAACTTCATTTTGAAAGGCTTTAATATTCGCTTTTTTCCATTTCTCATTGTTTGTTTTAATTTTTCGAAAAGATCAAAGTTCATCATTGTCTGATGATGATTTGTTTCATTAAAAGTGGATGATGAATTTGTTGAAACAATAAAATCAACAAGATGAAGCTTGTTGTGGCAGTCCGAGTGGATCATTTTTTTTCTTTGTTTTTGAAAATTTCACGTGGAATAAGATCAATCATCAATTGTTATATATGGCACAAATTCACTTGGGCTTTTTCCACTTGAGATTACCAGTCCCTTTGGGAATTGGCTTGATCAAGGGAAGGTGCAAGGAAAATGATGTTTTGTAAACTTCTGTGCTATTGCTGGTTGTTCTCGAAGCTCGTTCCAGGACCATTTAATTCTAGACCTTTCAATGCATTTGAAACGTGTTATTGAAACTGAATAGGCTTTCAGAAATTAAAACATTCCTTTAAGCTTGGGATGTTTCAAAGGTGTTGGGTGGTTTCAAAGATTCAGGGGCGTTTCAATACAATGACATGGCCTGAACAACCAAGGGGGGTTAACAACTGTCACAAAATGCAAGAAGTGATACCCAGTCCTCTCTCCTTGACTGAATTCAATCTCACATATTGATTGTATCATCGAAAATCAATATTACGAAATTAGAAAAACAAAACAAGGTCAAAAATTCCCACAATGAATACAAACCGAAAGAATATGCTTCTACGGAGCATATGAATACTTCACACACTGCAAAATATGTGGATTATTTGTGGGCCATTAAATTCTTGAGCTCAAATAATAATATCCAACAAGAGCAATTTTTGCAATGGGTTGCTGTTTGCATGTTTCAACAATTGCGGCATAGAGAACACAATCCAATAATTATTCCAAATATCGAAATTGATGATTCTGATTCCATTGATGTATATTCTAGTTTTGGCTTAGCTGGCAGCAAAACTTGTAAGAAAAATGTGTGGTCACTCACTGACTCTACTTATAGAAATTCGAAGGTGAAGGCATTCATGAATACCATTCAACAAATGTTTTTGGTCACTGGTGCATGTTTGTTGGAAGTGTTGGGGTTGTATTTTCAAACTTATCAAGCAAAATTTTTGACTGTGTTGAATTATGTAGGGTTTCAATCAGGCACTGAATCTGAGTTAGTTATGACTTGTTATGTCATAATTCGTCAAACATATTTCTCCAATATTGCAAATGTTAGAAATACCAAAGAGGAAATCTTATTGTTGAAAGATTTCATGTTGTTAAGTGATGAACGGTATCAACATTTCATAGATTATGTTGGACTGAATCACTTTCTACCATGTTCTACAACAATATGTAGATGTAGAAAAGAAATCAATAATATTATTACCAAAAATTATGAAATAATTAACGACGGAACTTGCATCGCTTGTAATTATCTGAATGTATTGCATGATCTATTGATAATTCATGCAAACGAATGTAAACGAATCAATGCCGATCCTAAATTGAAAATGTTAGCCAAAACATTCTTAGTTGGTGCAGTTGGTCCTTTGAACTTAATTTTGTCTCCCCAAAGCAGACATTCATATATCTCATGTATGACCATGGATAATAATGAAAACAAAGAAAAATTCCAAACTACTTTTTAACTATATCGTGGTCATTTTGAATAGATATTCAATTCAAGGCTTTCCTTATATCTTTGATAACAAATGATTTAAAAATGGTAGGATTAGTAACTGATTTGCATGACGATGATTGTTTCTCCCTATTGTAAATGTAAAAAAGAACATAGACATCTCTTTCCCATGGGAACAAGTTTTTGAAGAAGGCAAGATTGACAGTTCGAAATTGATGACATTTAATGTCAGTGGTGAATCAAACGACCACAATGACAACAACATGGCCATTGGAGAATCCAACATTGGAGGATATACAGACCTACCACGTCACTTTGATTGGCCAACGGATTCTCATGGAACGGAATGGCTCTTTGCATGTCAAATGAATGTTCAACAATTGGAATAATACTTGGACCAATTGAGAAATTCCAAGAAGGATCGAGAGATAACAACAACCACATCGTTCATAGAGAACCATGAAGAAGAAGCTCCAATGTACTGCCACCGGTGAGAATGATCATCTCGCCATACATTGGTTCTTCATTGCCACAAAATTATGTTCAGGAGAAGAATCATCTCCTTATCATGTCATTTCACCTGTGGACACTACTCATGAGGCACATTTCATTAGAACAAGTGTTGCGAGGATCAAAATGTTCATTCTTCATCGAGTCATCATCATAGTGAGGATCAACACGAACAAATTTAATACACTTGCATGTCAAGATTCACGGAGGAATACTGGATCTCTCCGAGCTTGAACAAGTAATGGATTACCAATAGCCTCCATCGATATACATCGCCTCTATATTCCTTTTACCCTTTTATTGAAATGGAAATGGCTTTAATTCCAAACAATGCTCATGTTTTATTATATTCCTCTTCGAAAACCCGCATTTTGGATCCATGGAGCAAGTCAAACCACTCTTAAAGAACAAGCAATTGGATGTGTATTTTCCGTATACATTCGTGACTGAACAACAGTGGCATGACAAGACAAGAAGAAAATTCATTTATCGAATTGATAGTCAAGAAGAAAAGAATATTTTTACACAATCATGTGAATATGTAGATTTAGAAAAGTATTCGAAACTGTTACGTGTTTTAAGTATTCATGGTGATGAATCAATGAATGTGGAGAGATGAGACGGAAAAAGCTGGTCGTTCTTTACCTTCCTAATGCTTTGAGAAGGGGATTAGTGAAAAATCATTTTGTGAGTGTTATGATCCTTAATTTGATCTAGATACGAGTTAATTTGTGAGATATGATGAGGATTTTTCTCAGAAAATCTCTTACAAATTCAAGAAATTGGTTGTAATGGGAAGCGATTTGAACTTGATATCATATGAATCTAGATAACGACACATTTTCATTGTTTGATCTGACAACATGACCTTACTACCATTGTGTTTGCACAGTGTCTTTCCAATTTCGCTTTTCAGATGTGAAACAAATCACCAAGTGAAAGCAATTCCTCGCCCCAGAGTTAACAAAACATCAACTGTTTGATTTTGATCAGGTTGTAATAAAAAAATTAAAACTAATTCACAACGAAAGCCCTTCACGATTGCTGACATCGTTCTCAACAAACACATGCATGCTAAAATTTTAAAAAAAATTCTCAGAAAATCCTTCAAGAATGAAACGAACAACGGCCCATCGCATTTCGCAAGGATTAAACTCCCACAACAGCAACACATTGAGCATCATCCAAAGCCACCATAATTATGTGTTTAATTCTTCTTCATCCATGAAATCAAACACCATATTTTTTAATGTTCCGTATCAAAACAAATTGTTGTATTATCCAACAACAACATCCGCATTTGGCCAAATACGTTCTTACACCACCGAAAAAAATTGGTTGAAGGAAAGAGAAGCATCAACAAATGATAGTAATGATCCCTCACCTTCATCCTCCGAACAAATCTGTCTCGATTTGACTAATTACGAGAGTTGGAACGCGCAACAAGTAGCATCAGTGTTAACTTCTCCTAAATCTTTGGGTGGTGCTGGTTTGTCGGTTGAAAAGCTGAAGCCTTTGTATGAGGCTGGTTTTGATGGCACATCTCTCCACATCATTGTTGAGAATATCAAGATGGACGATGTAAAGTATGCCATTGATCAACTAAAAAGCACTTATAATGAGAACAACATTCCTCAACTCTCCGACACTTGTCAAACTATTGTTTTATGGGTTAACACGCAATTCCTGCACAAATTACAATCCAATGTACAATCAATCTCTGTCCCTTTACTCTCTGCATCTGATTTTCTAATACCTTCCCTTAATGCTTATAACGCACTTTCCTTAGTTGATGTAACAAACAACTATCAAGTTGATCAAAAGGACACTCTTATTTACAAACATCCACTACTGGGTGGCATAGAGATATTTAATAATTTAGTAGAATTTAAAACTATACAAGATAGATTCAAGCTTATTTGTTCACTACACTCATTACGTGGAAGGCCAAGCTTTGAGATTCATGGAAACGCGAGAACAGGAAAAACACATTGTGCGAGGTTTATTGTACCATATTACATTACAAAAGCAATGAATGAACAAAGATTGGCCAATGGTGACCCAGTACTTAAATTATGTCCTGTTATTTATACTCGATTTACGAATAAGGAAAATTGTAACCATTTAAAGGAAATTTATGATTCATTACAACCAATAAGAGAGGCTTTAAATATTGACGATCGTACATACATTAATCCAGATTACAAAACTCTAATTGCGCGAAATATAACAAAGTTCGGAAAATATTCTCCAAATTGCCATCTATTTATAGTATTAGATGAAATACAATTCATAGACTCGACTATACTTGATACACTTAGAGAAATTGCAAAATCACAAGATCTACCATATCGTGGATCGACTTTTATTTTAACAGGATCAACTCAAGCACGATTTGTGAGAGTGTTAGCCTCAACTGTTAAGAATGGATTAAGCTATAACGAAGCAACAATTCAGCATACTATCCCTTATGATCTACAAAACTCGACACAAATTGAAGAGTTATGCAGAATTCGCAACATACCAAAACCCTCAGATGAAGATCTTTGTTTATTACAAGAAAGATTTAGAGGACTTAATATTGCTTACCTTACTCAAATCCTTGCATTAGTATCACAAAACATATCCATCGACAAAGCTGCCTATATGTTCATCAATGAAATATTCGATATATACGATAGGGATATTTTTGTACCACTAACAAAAAAACCGTTGACAATTGACCGTAATTTAGAGCTAGTGATGAATCAGCTTTTGCCAATAGAAACCATTTCATCCCAACAAAATAATATTTTTCAGTTCGCATCAACATATTTAACAAAGGAAACAAGAATTGTAAATGGTATTTCAATTGACTTCTACAAGTTTAGAGATATCATGTTGGAATATTATTTGACAACAAGGTTGCATAAACGTGAAGATGGCACTTATTATCTTTCTAATATTGAATATAAACCCCATTCCTTGGACACCACTATGGATAATATTGCATCATTAGGAGAAAAGATTGCAAGATGGAAACATTATAACCGCAACAATAATCATGTCGCTATACAATTTTTTCAGAACAATTTTCAACTTATTCAAAATTTTTTACAAAATGATCCAGCTTTGACAAAACTTAGCAACAGAAACATTAACAATTTACATCAAGAGCTCAATACCATTATCAACAAACATCATACACAAATCCAAAAGGCATATAGTTCATTCAACACTTTACCAAAACAAGAAAAATTAGCTATAATATTTATACAAACCAGAAATATTATTAGACATGAACACGTAACTTCATCGCCAGCAACAACAGCTGTTGCGAATGCATATCTCGCTCACTTTTTAAACGGAGATAGACATGACTTCCATAGATTCTCCATTAGAATTTATCCTCTTCTTGGCTTGCCAATGTAATCAAATAATACAACTTCAACATTGATTTTCTAACAAGTAACTCATAGCTAATCCTCGAAATCTTTTTTGCAATATCATTGCTCTTGGATGATTCACAACGTCACTCTTCCAAATGATCCATGAATTTACTACTTGTGTATATTGACAACCTTTGTTTCGTAAAATCAATTTCAAGTCATATTTAAATACTAATTTTTCATTGAACTCTGGATTATCTTCATCATTACAATCAAACATTAAATGTGATTTCTTAGAACCATGCAACTTTTTAGTATCATCATTGTCACTGTGATCCAGAAAATCTTCTTCATCCAAACATAAATTCATTGGATATGCTCCTGGTGTTGTTATATAATTCTTTAAGAGTTTTGAATCCAAATCAAATACAAGAATTTGCTTTGTTGCACTACAATCACTCACGAGAATATAATGGCATTGATATGATATTGTGATATTATAAGGATGAATTTAGAGATTGAATGATCATCTTTTTTAAATGATGAACCAGAAGGAGAGCCATTTACCACGATGAATAATGAGCCCACATAATCAAAATTAGATGAAAAGGATTTTCGGAAATACTTGGAAATGTGTTTGCTCATTTTCTGTTTGAATAATTGCATCAACAAATCATTTCTTGTGGTTTCCAGATCATCAACTAGTCCATTAAATCCAGGGTGACCAAAAAGATCACAAGTGTAAAATGTAGTAAAATGATGAACTATTCTCATGAATAATTCACAATGAGCTAATCATTAGTTGACTGTCTGAAAGCTTTGAAATATGTAACTTGGGTTTGGGTTTGGGAATATCGCCCATTCAGTGATCCCAAAAATTTGTAATTATCAAATAAACAACATATTTAGTTGAACTAATTTTGAGGGTTTGCGAATTCCCATTTTTCGGTTCCTCTTGGGTCTCATAGCTCTCGAATGAGTGGGTGTTGAAGAAGATGCATAGTCAAGATCGTTACAATCTGCTGTGGTCACTTGACTTGAGATATTTGGTGTGAGATTGGAGTGAAGGGTCTGGTCTATGGCCGGCAGCATTATTTCGTTGCGTCGAATGGTGTGGTAGCATCCATCGTTGCAATTCTCTTCTTTGTCCACCATTGACATTATACTTGGGATAGTTGCGTTATCAGGTTTAGATTGAACGTTATTCACTTTTGGGGTTTGGGTTTGGGTTTGGGTTTGGGTTTGGGTTTGGGTTTGGGTTTGGGTTTGGGTTTGGGTTTGGGTTTGGGTTTGGGTTTGGGTTTGGGTTTGGGTTTGGGTTTGGGTTTGGGTTTGGGTTTGGGTTTGGGTTTGGGTTTGGGTTTGGGTTTGGGTTTGGGTTTGGGTTTGGGTTTGGGTTTGGGTTTGGGTTTGGGTTTGGGTTTGGGTTTGGGTTTGGGTTTGGGTTTGGGTTTGGGTTTGGGTTTGGGTTTGGGTTTGGGTTTGGGTTTGGGTTTGGGTTTGGGTTTGGGTTTGGGTTTGGGTTTGGGTTTGGGTTTGGGTTTGGGTTTGGGTTTGGGTTTGGGTTTGGGTTTGGGTTTGGGTTTGGGTTTGGGTTTGGGTTTGGGTTTGGGTTTGGGTTTGGGTTTGGGTTTGGGTTTGGGTTTGGGTTTGGGTTTGGGTTTGGGTTTGGGTTTGGGTTTGGGTTTGGGTTTGGGTTTGGGTTTGGGTTTGGGTTTGGGTTTGGGTTTGGGTTTGGGTTTGGGTTTGGGTTTGGGTTTGGGTTTGGGTTTGGGTTTGGGTTTGGGTTTGGGTTTGGGTTTGGGTTTGGGTTTGGGTTTGGGTTTGGGTTTGGGTTTGGGTTTGGGTTTGGGTTTGGGTTTGGGTTTGGGTTTGGGTTTGGGTTTGGGTTTGGGTTTGGGTTTGGGTTTGGGTTTGGGTTTGGGTTTGGGTTTGGGTTTGGGTTTGGGTTTGGGTTTGGGTTTGGGTTTGGGTTTGGGTTTGGGTTTGGGTTTGGGTTTGGGTTTGGGTTTGGGTTTGGGTTTGGGTTTGGGTTTGGGTTTGGGTTTGGGTTTGGGTTTGGGTTTGGGTTTGGGTTTGGGTTTGGGTTTGGGTTTGGGTTTGGGTTTGGGTTTGGGTTTGGGTTTGGGTTTGGGTTTGGGTTTGGGTTTGGGTTTGGGTTTGGGTTTGGGTTTGGGTTTGGGTTTGGGTTTGGGTTTGGGTTTGGGTTTGGGTTTGGGTTTGGGTTTGGGTTTGGGTTTGGGTTTGGGTTTGGGTTTGGGTTTGGGTTTGGGTTTGGGTTTGGGTTTGGGTTTGGGTTTGGGTTTGGGTTTGGGTTTGGGTTTGGGTTTGGGTTTGGGTTTGGGTTTGGGTTTGGGTTTGGGTTTGGGTTTGGGTTTGGGTTTGGGTTTGGGTTTGGGTTTGGGTTTGGGTTTGGGTTTGGGTTTGGGTTTGGGTTTGGGTTTGGGTTTGGGTTTGGGTTTGGGTTTGGGTTTGGGTTTGGGTTTGGGTTTGGGTTTGGGTTTGGGTTTGGGTTTGGGTTTGGGTTTGGGTTTGGGTTTGGGTTTGGGTTTGGGTTTGGGTTTGGGTTTGGGTTTGGGTTTGGGTTTGGAGC